AATTCTGCTTCAAGACTGCAACATAGAAACCCTGCCTAAGTTTCCAGCCTGCAGATTTCGGACTCAAGACTGTGGCATCAATCAACTCTTGCCTGAGTTTCCAGCCTGCCAGCTGCTCTACACCTTTCAGACTTGCCTGCCTCCACCGTGGCATGAGCCACTTCTTTCAAATAAATCTCTCCTCTCTCTCTACATATATTTTAATGTTCGTTCTGTTTCTCTGGAGAACCTTGAGTAATACACCTAGAAAGGATGCTGCTGAGATCTCTGCTTTGTATAACCAGCTGTGTATAGTAACTTGCACTTTTTATTGACAAAAGGATTTGAATATGTAGCCTGTATTTTGTAGCCTCTTTCTGTTAATCACAGGTGCTGTTGACAACTCCCCATACAGATACAGGTTCCACAGGCAGGTTGGCAGAGGCTGATGAGTGAGAGAAACTGTTTAGAAAGTTTGTCAGGAGAAACAATGAGATACAGGTTTGAATGTAATGGTGGAGATGAAGAATAAAGGCCCCAAGGGCTAGTAGGTAAGACAGGGAAATGACTGGTTGGGAACAGGGGAAAAATAATTGCCAAGTAGATTGAATCTTAATATCAGATGAGTTTGCTGAGCCAATTAACTGCAAATCAATTTCTGCTGTCCCCAGAAACTTCAAAAACTGCCATATACCTGGGCTGTAAGAAAGAATCGACAGCTTGGGTAGTCCATACGTGATTTGACCTGTCTTCCTCACTGTGCATTCCCTAGCTTTTATCAAATGTAATCTGTGATGCTGAACAATGATGGCTCAGAGTTTGCATGGAAATTTTTATATTGCCACAGATAATCCCCTTATGAATAATTGAGTGTTGACTACACAAGTGACTTAATAGTTTAGCAATCATTTTCTAATTCTACTTTATGGTTTCTTTGCCTACTTTGTAAATAGGCACTGGTAAATTAAATTGGACATCCTCACTGTAAATAGGAAAGCTTAGGAAATACATACAGGCATGAAATATTCATGAGAATTCAATTCCCTAGAAATTTATAAGCAGTTCCCACTCCTATGTGTTATAGAATTGAAATCTCAATTATACAAAGCCAGCTAATATAAGACAGGAAAATGATGCCAGGTAATCACAGTTACAGTAATAACACAGAAAACATCACCATGAAATAAAAATTATGAGCCCTTGGAATAAATGCACTTCCTGAATAGAAAATCAAAGTACAAAATAAAAGAGCATATCAATTGGAAAACTATATTATAATAATATGAATGCAACAAACCACAAGCAGAGCAAGTATGTTCTATCTACTCTGACTAGTTCAGGCCTACTTACTTTTTGAAAGATCAGGGGTATTCGAGTTCCTGGTACTTTTCTCTGATCTTGTTCTAACAATACTGTCAATGGAACACCAAAAAGACCAGAATCTGCAAAAAGAAAACAAAATTTCTTCACTTCCACCAATCCATAACATACTAATACAAAAATGTTAAAGCATAAAATTTCTGACATTGACGTTCAATTATTTATTGAGCACTTACTAAGTGAATGACACAATCTAGCCATTCATTAGGTATACACAGGCCAATAGGCCTGCCTTATAGAGCAATTTGGCAGGGAAAGACAACTAAACAAATGATTGCAAATGAATCACCGAAATAATTTAAAAAGTACAAACTACTACATAAAAGAAATAAAGTACTG